CAGCCATCCTCAACTTGAAGCACTGGGAATGTTTGTATTTTCCTGAGGTGAGGCACCAAGTTCGCCGTCTCCCGCCTTATGCTAACGTCTCTTATGCTCGCATGTTGCGCTCTTCCTCTCCTCGTCCTTCCTGCCTTTCTCCGTTTCACAACCATTTCCGGGCCTTAGACCTAGACACACCCACTGCCGCCACCTCTGTTCCTTTGCGTTCTATCCCAAAGGGTCCCCCTCATGGCTCTCTGTCTGGGGTTCCCCTTCTTTCTACCCAGTCTGTCGTGTCTTCTGTGTCTTCTTCCTCGTCTCCCTCCGATCCTCCTTCCCGTCCTTCTCCTCAGTCTATTGGCTCTCCACGCCACCTGTCGGTGCGAGCTGATGTCCATCACTCGCCCACCGGCCAGCGTGTCTGCTCTCGTTCTGCTTCTCCTGTTGAGACTCTTAGAATCTGTTGCCCAGTACTTTGTTGCTGGGACACCTGTCTCTTTGAGTCAGAAGCGTAAGCCTGGCTCCTCTCCTTCCTCCTCCCCAGCAGGTAAGAAGGCTTTGGTTTCTTTCTCGGCCCCCTACTTCTGACTCTCTCGCTCCTTTCCCTCCCGTTTCGGTGGTTGCGCCCCCTGTTCCTATTATGGAGGTTTCTTTGGCCCCCCGCTTCCCTCTTGGTTGCTGTCCTTGCTGAGGTGCGCTCCCCTCTTTCTACTTCTCCTACTCCTGTCCTTGACTGCTCCTTTAGGTTCTCCTCTGCCTCCTCCTCCTCCGGACCCTGCCCATCCACCTCTGATCTGTTCTCCCGCTTCCTTCCCTCCGTTTTTGCTCAGTTTACCCATGCCCCCTAACCCTGACTTTGCTGACCCTGATCCCAACCCTGATCTTTAACGTGCTATGTTCCTCTTTCACCTTTGTTTCTTCCTTGTTTTCTGTTGCTGTCCTTTCTCTTCCTGTCGATGTCTATTCTTCAATGGAACATTCGTGGTTATTACGCCAATTTCCTTGAACTCCAACTTCTGCTTTTATGATTTTCGCCCCTTTGTGTCTGTCTCCAGGAGCCGATGCTTGGTGCTCGTCTTGGTCGCTTTCGTGGCTATTCCTTTCTGTCCCCCCTCCCATCCCCAGCAACGGCTCCTAACTCTTCTGCTCTCTTGATTTGCTCTGATGTTCCCTTTGTCCCCTTACTACTTCCTTTGCCTCTCCATTGTTCTGCTGTTCGTACCTTTGTGAGGAAATGGAACACAGTTTGTTCCATTTATCTCCCCCCCGAGTGTCCCGCTTTCTCTTCCTGATCTTAAACACCTACTGGACTCCTTGCCGGAGTCTGCGCTCCTGCTGGGTGATTTCAATTATCGACATACCCTTTGGGGTGATGTTCTGATAAACGTCCGAGGTCGCCTTCTTGAACCGTTCATCCTCTCTTCTTCCCTGTCTCTTCTGAATTCTGGTGAGCCCACTCATTTGGATTCTCGGACTCGCTCCCTTTCCTGTCTTGATTTTTCTCCTTGTTCGTCTTCCCTTTACTTAGATTTTGAGTGGCATGTTCTTGATGACCTCCATGGCAGTGACCGTTTTCCCATCCTTGTTTCCTTTTTCTCTTTTCACCCTCCCCTCTCCTTCCCTAGGTGACGGTTTGCCGAGGCTGACTGGACCCTCTTTATCGTCCTTGTTAATATCTCCAACCATTCCATTCTGCCTCTCCCTCGCGCCCTCCTCCTTTCGAGATCATCAGTACGGCTAAACGTGCATGTTGGATATCTTATGTCTCCACCATTATGTCCGATACTCTTCTTTCGCTGATTTGGAAGTGTATCCACAAGGTAGTGGGTAAGTTCTTTCCTGATGTCTCCCCAGTCCTTCACCTCGGTGGTACCTTGTGGCGGACCCATTGCAGGTTGCAACCGAATTGGGTTCCCACTTTTCGTCTGTTAGCTCTGGTTCTCATCTCCCCCATTCCTTCCTTCTTCGTAAGCCTCTTCTTGACTCTCGTCCTTTGGATTTCTGTGCCTATCTCTGACTTCCCTATAATGATCCCTTTTGTATCTCTGAGCCCCAGAGATACAAAGCCCCTGGCCCTCTGTGGTTCTACGGTGGCAGGCTCCGATGGCATTCATTTTGAGATGCTTCAACATCTCCCTCCGTGCTCGTCTCAATATTTACCGAGTCTGTTTAATCGGGTCTGGGAGTCCTCGTCAGTCCCTGAGGACTCGCCCGACACTGTTGTCCTCCCTGTTCGGAAACCAGGGTCTCTCGGGTCTTCCCGCAAGAACTTCCACCCTATTGCCCTCACGAGTTGTTTCTGCAAGCTCTTTGAACGTATGGTTAACGTTCATCTGATGTGGTTCTTAGAGCACTATCACCTTCTTTCCCCTTCTCAATTTGGTTTTCGCAAATGCCGCAGCACAACAGATGTCCTGGTGAACTTGGAGGTCTATATTCGTACTGCTTTTGCTGCAAAGACCTCCGTTGTTGCCGTCCTTTTTGACCTGGAAAAGGCTTACGACACTACCTAGCGGTATCATATTCTGTCCCAACTTCATTCTTTTGGCCTTCGTGGGAATCTCCCTCTCTTCCTCCAAAATTTCCTCTCTCGTCGTTCCTTTCGAGTAAGGCTCGGTACTCTCTGCCCCTTTTTGGCAATATGAGGGTGTGCCCCAAGGTAGTGTTCTGAGCACTACTCTTTTTCTTGTTGCTCTCAATGGTCTTCTTTCCTCCCTTCCTTCTGGCGTCTTCTCCACTCTCTATGTAGACGATCTTACCCTTTGGTGTCGGGGTGATGATTAGCCTCTCCTTCAACTGCGGCTTCACCTTGAGATTGATGCCGTGTCGTCTTGGGCCACTGATCATGACTTCAAGTTCTCTGCATCTAAGACTTGTGCCATGACTTTTACCCGGAAGTGTGTCATCCTTCGTCCCTCTTTGTCTCTTTATGGACATCCCCTTGTGTACAAGGATTTTGCTAAGCTTCTGGGGTTAATCTTTGACACTCGTTTGTCTTGGTCGCCCCATATCTCTTACCTCCGCGCTGAATTCTCTAAGGCCCTTTTCCTCCTTAAGGTTTTGTACCATACTTCTTGGGGGGCGGATAGGAGTATGCTCTTCTCTCTACATTCCACTCTCAATCTGTCTAAACTCAATTATGGTTGCCCTGCTTACTCGTCCGCTTCTCCTTCTACTTTTCACCAACTTGATGCTTTGCACAATGCTGGGTTGCGCCTCAGCTCTGGTGCCTTTCGTTTGACTCCCGCCCTCAGTTTGTATGTTGACATTGATTTCCTATCTCAATCAGGACCGCCGTGATTGCTACTGTCTTCGCTATCTGGCATGGTCCTTGCAACATCCTGCCTCTCGCCTCTGTCATGCTTTGACTTTTACCCCTCAAGTAGTTCCTGTTCCACTTCTTTCTGTCCAGCTTTCTCGCTTACAGGTCTCTTTCCATTCGTTTTTCTCATATTTCTCCTCGTATTGTTCCTTACTTGCCCCCATGGAGGGTCCCCCTTCCAAAGTTTTGTACATCCTTAACCCGCATCATTAAAGCTTTCACACGTCCTACGGTTCTGAAACGCCTTTTTCTTGAGCACTTTTCTTCACACTCCTGCTCCATTTCCATCTTCACCGATGGGTCTAAGTCCATGGACGGTGTGGGCTACTCCGTTGTTTTCCTGAACGCACTTAAATGTGTCACTTTCGTTCGGAGACTTGCATCTTCACAGCGGAGCATTATGCTATTTGCCATGCTCTCTGTCTCCTGCTTTCTAGTTGTTAATCCTCCTTTGTGATTGTCGTTGACTCTAGTAGTGCCCTCATGGCTCTCGGGTCCTTTAATCCTGTCCATCCCATTGTCGTCGAGATTCAACATTGGCTCTTTCTTACTTCTAGTAAATTTAAATCCGTGGAGTTTTGTTGGGTTCCCAGCCATATTGGTGTTTCTTGAAATGAGCATGCGGGTGCTGCCGCTAGGGAGGCTATCCACTCTTGTCCCGTTTCCCGTTAAGGTATTCCTTTTTCCGTCTTTTATCCGGTTATTCATTCCTCTATGCATGCCCGTTGGCAGGGTTGTTGGTCTTCTGTTGTTGGTAACAAACTGCGTACTCTTAAGTGTTTGTCCCCCCGTGGCCTTCCTCCTGCCACCGTACCCGACGGTGGGAATCGGCTCTATCGCGGTTGAGTCCTGGCCATACTCGCTTAACTCACGGACACTTAATCGAGCGCCGCTCAGCTCCTATTTGTCCAAATTGCGTTGTCCCTCTTAGAGTCGTGCATATCCTTGTTGAATGTCCTGACTTCCAGGACAAGCGTGTGTCTTGCTTTCCGACCGTCCCTCGCGATCACTTGTCCCTCGATAGAATTCTTGGTGAATCGCATACTTTTGATATCGTTCGCCTTATGCGTTTCTGTTCTCGTATTGGCATAAGTGGTGATATTTAGCGCCCTCTGATTATCCCGCACATTTGATGGTGCTACATAGCCTTCCCGGTTTGGTACCTTTTTTCTATAATTAGTTACTTCTACTGCCTCGTTCTGCCTCCTGCTTCCTCTTGCTGTATTCTACTGCCTCTTGCTGCCTCTTGTTGTCTCAAGATATCTCTTGCTGCCTCCTGGTTTCTCTTCCTTTAGTCAAAATTATTCTCTTCTCCCGTTGCCATTTGCCACATCTAACATACGTTTGCTATAAGATAAGTGTTAAATGTTGAGCTTGCACGGCGGGGATCACTAGATAGTGCTAAGTTCTTCATTGTTCTCTGTCTTCTAAGTTAATATCACCCCCAGGTGATGGGGTTAATATCACCCCCAGGACCATCTTGGTTAAATACGTAGTAAACCGTTCTCTTAGAGCCTCCAGCACATTCCACTCTCATCTTATTGCTTCCAGTTTGTAATCATTTTTTAATTACAGGTCATTTTCCTGTGTCTTTCACTATACATTGTACCCCACACTCACTGTACTACACACTCACTGTACTACATTGTCTCTTACTGTACTACACTGTGTCTCTCACTTTACTACACTGTGTGTCTCACTGTAGACTCGAGGTGCTCTGCAGGCTACACTCGGCCTTTCTCTGCAGGCTACACTCGGCCTTTCTCTGCAGGCTACACTCGGCCTTTCTCTGCAGGCTACACTCGGCCTTTCTCTGCAGGCTACACTCGGCCTTTCTCTGCAGGCTACACTCGGCCTTTCTCTGCAGGCGACACTCGGCCTTTCTCTGCAGGCGACACTCGGCCTTTCTCTGCAGGCTACACTCGGCCTTTCTCTGCAGGCTACACTCGGCCTTTCTCTGCAGGCGACACTCGGCCTTTCTCTGCAGGCGACACTCGGCCTTTCTCTGCAGGCTACACTCGGCCTTTCTCTGCAGGCGACACTCGGCCTTTCTCTGCAGGCGACACTCGGCCTTTCTCTGCAGGCTACACTCAGACTGTCTCTCACTGTAGAGACTCGCTTCATATAAAGACATAGATGGTTGGCCACCGTCTACAGTAGATGGTTGGCCACCGTCTACAGTAGATGGTTGGCCACCGTCTACAGTAGATGGTTGGCCACCGTCTACAGTAGATGGTTGGCCACCGTCTACAGTAGATGGCTGGCCACCGTCTACAGTAGATGGCTGGCCACCGTCTACAGTAGATGGCTGGCCACCGTCTACAGTAGATGGTTGGCCACCGTCTACAGTAGATGGTTGGCCACCGTCTACAGTAGATGGCTGGCCACCGTCTACAGTAGATGGTTGGCCACCGTCTACAGTAGATGGCTGGCCACCATCTACAGTAGATGGCTGGCCACCGTCTACAGTAGATGGCTGGCCACCGTCTACAGTAGATGGCTGGCCACCATCTACTAAAGGCGGTAATTTCTAAACAAATGTCTATTTCATATCATAAAAGTATAATGATTTCATTTCCAACCTGGATATGCGTATGGAAATGTCAAGACACACAAGCCTGGAAACCCACTTCGGCCAATCATCAGCCAGATACCCACACCCACGTACAGACTGGCGAAGCGACTCAACGGCCTGCTGACTCCTTATGTCCCTTGCGCCTTCAGCCTGAAGTCTCCAAAGGAATTTGTTGACTTACTGCGGGGCACACGGGCCACAGGGATAAGAGCCTAGTTGGACGTAGAATCACTGTTTACCAACGTACCTGTGGACGAGACAATCGGGATGATAGCCGACAGAGTGTATCGTGATCCGGCCTGTACTCCTCTTGACATACCAGAAAACATTTTAAGGAAACTATTCCAAGCTTGTACTAAAGAGGCACCCTTCTTGAGCCCGAATGGGCACATGTATAAGCAAGTAGATGGGGTCGCCATGGGTCTCCTAGGTGTCCTGTTTGCAAACTTCTACATGGGTACCATCGAGCAAAAAGTCTTAGTCGACATGAACTTGAAACCGGCCATATGCTGCAGGTATATTGACGACATTTTTACACAGGTACCTGATGTCAGACATCTGCAGGAGCTGAAGGAGGCATTTGAGCAGAGTTCCGTGCTGCGTTTCACTTACGAGATGGAAAAGGATGGGAAGCTGCCCTTTCTAGATGTAACAGTCATGGAAAAGAGCGGAGGTTTCCACACTGTAGTCTACACTAAGGAAACGAACATAGGAATGTGCCTAAATGCCAACAGCGACTGCCCAGACAGGTACAAGAGGAGTGTTGTTAACGCTTATGTCGACCGTGCTCTCAGCCACAGCTCAGAATGGAAGCAAGTCGACGAAGAACTCTGTAGGGTAAGGCAGGTCCTAGTCAACAACGGCTTCTCCAATGGTTTCGTCGAAGACATCATAAGAAGGAAAGTGAAACGCCATGCAACCTCTGAAGAGACAACTAACACAACACCTATACCACCTATTAGACTATTTTACAGGAACTTCTTTTCCACAGCTCATAAAACGGAGGAAAGGGTCCTGAAAGATATTGTTAATAGAAACGTTATCCTTACAGACAAAAATCAGAGGATACAACTGACGATTTACTATAAAACCAGAAAAACAGCCAGTCTACTCATGAGAAACTCTCCAGACACAAAGCAGAACGCTTTAAAAGAAACCAACGTCGTCTATGCCTTCAAATGCCCTCTTGGGGACTGTAAGCTCCAAAAAACCCAGTATATAGGCAAGACAACAACATCTCTTTCTAGGCGTTTAACGATGCATTAGCAACAGGGCTCCATAAAGGAACATATAATCTCTTCCCACAACCAAACCATCGCCAGAGAAATCCTAGTAAACAACACAGAAATCATCGATAGATACAGCGATAGCAGGCGGCTTGACGTCTGCGAGGCACTACACATCAAGAAGTCAACACCAGCAATCAACAGCCAATTAATGCACAACTATATTCTACCCACCTCAAGACTCCGCTCCAATATAGAAGCATCAAGAAATATGGACCAATAGGCTTTCTACAATCACTTCCATTCAATACCCATTGTTTCGTGTTCTGTCTTGTGTTTAGGAATTTAATACCCTATTAATACCACCTCACCCCATCCATCTCACTCAAATGTAGATATAAACAAATCGAAGATGTGTAAGTTCTATTCAGTTGTGTATGTGTAAACTAAAGTCTTTGAAAATGTAATAAGTTTTACGAAACGCGCTCAAGTGTCGCGTCAGACTAGAAATAAAAATGAATTTTGGAGAATTGATTTTTGAATTACCACCAACAGTGAAAAGAAACGTATGAAAGATCGAGAAAATTCGTGTTAGAATTATTAATCATACTTTTTCGGTCTTATTTAATACTATATATATATATATATATATATATATATATATATATATATATATATATATATATATATATATATATATATATATATATATATATATATATATATATATATATATATATATATATATTATATATATATATATATATATATATATATATATATATATATATATATATATATATATATATATATGTCGTACCTAGTAGCCAGAACGCACTTCTCAGCCTACAATTCAGGGCCCGATTTGCCTAATAAGCCAAGTTTTCCTGAATTAATATATTTTATCAAATTTTTTTCTTATGAAATGATAAAGCTACCCATTTCATTATGTATGAGGTCAATTTTTTTTTATTGGAGTTAAAATTAACGTAGATATATGACCGAACCTAACCAACCCTACCTAACCTAACCTAACCTACCTTTATGGGTTAGGTTAGGTTAGGTAGCCGAAAAAGCTAGGTTAGGTTAGGTTAGGTAGTCGAAAAACAATTAATTCATGAAAACTTGGCTTATTAGGCAAATCGGGCCTTGCATAGTAGGCTGAGAAGTGCGTTCTGGCTACTAGGTACGACATATATATATATATATATATATATATATATATATATATATATATATATATATATATATATATATATATATATATGTCGTACCTAGTAGCCAGAACTCACTTTTTGGCCTACTATTCAAGGCCCGATTTGCCTTATAAGCCAAGTTTTCCTGAATTAATATATTTTTTCTAATTTTTTTCTTATGAAATGATAAAGCTACCCATTTCATTATGTATGAGGTCAATTTTTTTTATTGGAGTTAAAATTAACGTAGATATATGACCAGACCTAACCAACCCTACCTAACCTAACCTAACCTATCTTTATAGGTTAGGTTTGGTTAGGTTGCCGAAAAAGTTAGGTTAGGTTAGGTTAGGTAGGTTAGGTAGTCGAAAAACAATTAATTCATGAAAACTTGGCTTATTAGGCAAATCGGGCCTTGCATAGTAGGCTGAGAAGTGCGTTCTGGCTACTAGGTACGACATATATATATATATATATATATATATATATATATATATATATATATATATATATATATATATATATATATATATATATATATATATTTATTTATAATTATAATTTTGTGCAATGACATTTTCAAATAAAGTTAGATATATATACACACATACCAAAAGAATAGGGGTGGTAGGAGAAGAAAATATCAAAGTGTTCAGTGAGGATCCTCAAGGTCTTCTCTGAGTACTCTTTATTTTCTTCTCCGAGGCTATGGGTTCCTACACTTGCAGCAGGGGTGGTACCTCTTCTAGGTTAAACTATATATATATACTGTAATATAATTATTATTTTGTATTAATATTTCTTGTTAATAAAATAATCAAAATTTATTTTCATGTTTCATTTCATTACACATCTTAACATCTAATATGAATTGTTGCAATCAAAAACACATGTGGACGGAAATTTTTTCGAACATGTAGTCTTACATTGAATTACAATGCTTGTCGGGTTCATTAGCGACTCACAATCAGCAATTCCTGCGTTCGAATCCCGGGCGGAACAGAAAAGGTTAAACGGGTTTCGTATTGTATAATGCCCCTGTTCACCTAAACTGGGACCCAGAGAATATGTACGGAGAAGTTAGTCAGTGTTACGAGTCTCTAGTTAGAGACATTTTGTGTAGACAGTTATCTTGGTTATCTTCAGGTTATCTTGGGATTATTTCGGGGCTTAGCAGAGTTCCGTGCTGCGTTTCAGTTCATAATGGAAGCAAGTCGTCGAAGAACTCTGTAGGGTAAGGCAGGTCCTAGTCAACAACGGCTTCTCCAATGGTTTCGTCGAAGACATCATAAGAAGGAAAGTGAAACACCATGCAACCTCTGAAGAGACAACTAACACAACACCTATACCCCCTATTAGACTATTTTACAGGAACTTCTTTTCCATAGCTCATAAAACGGAGGAAAGGGTCCTGAAAGATATTGTTAATAGAAACGTTATCCCTACAGACAAAAATCAGAGGATACAACTGACGATTTACTATAAAACCAGAAAAACGGCCAGCCTACTCATGAGAAACTCTCCAGACACAAAGCAGAACGCTTTAAAAGAGACCAACGTCGTCTATGCCCAGCAGCCCGGTCTTCGACCCTGGCCTCCTTTTTGTTACACACCCCCCAAGTAAGTAAGTAATTATCAAAAGAAGGCACCAAACCGGGAAGGCTATGTAGCACCACCAAATGCGCAAAATAATCAGAGGGCGCTAAATATCACCAAGGATGCCAATAAGAGAACAAAAACGCATAAGGCGAACGATATCAAAAGTGTCCGAGTCACCAAGAATTCTATTGAGGGACAGGTGATCGCGAGGGGCGGTCGGAAAGCAAGACACACGCTCGTCCTGGAAGTCAGGACATTCAAGAAGGACATGCACGACCGTAAGAGGGACAATGCAACTAGGACAATAAGGAGCAGGGCGGCGCTCCATCAAGTGACCATGGGTTAAGCGAGTATGGCCACTACACAACCTCGCCAGAGCTGTTTCCCACCGCCGGTTACAGTGGAAGGAAGACGGCCACGAGGAAACACAACATTTAAGAGTACAGAGCTTGTTACCAGTAACAGACAACCAAGAAGCCTGCCAACGGGTAAGGACTGAGGAATGGATAACAGGGTAAAAGTCGGAATACGGAATGCCTTTACAAGAGATGGGACAAGAGTGGACAGCTTCCTTGGCGGCAGCATCCGCACGCTCATTTAAAGACACACCAATATGGCTGGGAACCCAACAAAACTCAACCGACTTAAATTTACTGTGAACAAGAAACAGCCAATGCTGGATCTCGACAACTACTGGATGAACCAGATTAAAGGACCCGAGAGCCATGAGGGCACTACGAGAGTCAACAACAACTACAAAGGAAGACTGACAACGAGAAAGCAGGAGACGAAGAGCATAGAGAATAGCATAAAGTTCCGCTGTAAAGATGCTAGTCTCCGGAGGTAAGCGACACATATAAGTGCGATCAGGAAAAACAACAGAATAGCCAACACCGTCCGCCGACTTTGACCCATCGGTGAAGACAGAAACGGA